ATTGTTAATCATTTCTTGAAGTTTTCTGGTAAAATTTTAGAATCTTTTATATATAATATCATATCATCTTCAAATAGGATGATTTGACACCTTCCAATTTATATCCCTTCAATTTCCTTCTCCTGTCTTATTTCTCCATCTAGAGTTTCAAACACTATATTGAAAGGTTTGGGGATAGCAGACAACCCTCTATGGTTCCTAATTTTAATATGAATGCTTTAAATTTTTCTCCATTCAGAATGATGTTAAGTGTGGGTTTGTTGTACAAAGCCTTAATTATATTGAAGTATGTCCCCTCCTGTCTAATTACATCTAGGGCTTTTATCATGAATGCGTGTTGCATTTTGTCAAAGGCCTTCTCTGTGTCTATTGAGAAGATCATGTAATTTCTGTGATTAGGTTCATTTATATGTTTATTGACCTATGTATAGTGAACTATCCTTGCCTCTCTGGAATAAAGCCTATTTGATCATTGTGAATGATCTTTTAGATGATGTCTGTATGTAGTTTGTGAATATTTTGTTGAGAAATTTTTTCATTTATGTTCATTAAAGATATGGACCTACATTTTTCCTTTTTTTTATTTCTTTAACTGGTTTGGGTATTAAAGTAATATTGGTTTCATAGAAGGAGGTAGAGCTTTGGCCTGGCATTTTTAGTTGTAAGGCTTTGTATTTTGTTTTGAATTCCTTATTTATTATGAGTCTGTTTAAGTTCTTGATCTCATCTTGTTTTCAAAACTATCTTCTTGTTTTAACAGCTGTTGTTCTCTTCTTGCATTGTTTTTAAAAGCTATTTCTTAGTCCTTTTCATTTTTTCTTTAAGAGCTCTCTGTTCAGATCTCAGGCCCAATATATAATTCGATCATTTGTATTTTTAAATTTTATTTTTTGAGTTCTTTTTATATTCTGAATGTTGATGCTTTGACAGATTTATAGCTTGCAATGATTATGTCCCACTCTGAGGAATCTCTCTTCATGTAATTATTTCTCCTTCTCTGAAATACTTTAGATTAATGAAATCCCATTTGTCAGTTGTTGGTCTTAATTTGTGAATGAAGGCAATCTAATTCAGAAGTTCCTTTCCTGCACCTATAGTTTGTAGGATAATGCCTAAACCTTTTCTAGCAATTTGTGTTGCAGATTTGACATCGATCCATTTGTGGAGGGTGTTAGACACAGGTACAATTTTGTGGCTCTACATGTGGGCATCCACATTTCCCAACACTGTTTGTTGAAGATGCTCTCTTACCTCCAGTGTGTATTTGTTAAAACTTAGTAACTAGCAAGTGGTTTATAATAATATGCATTCCTGTTTGGGTCCTCAGTTTGGGTTTTCTATTGATTTACATATATGTTTTATGCCAGTAACATGTTCCTTTTATTAGTCTAACTCTGTAATATTGTTTGAAATGTAGTGTGATAATCTGTCCAGCATTGATCTTTTAAACTGATTACTTTTCCATTGCAACCAAGGCAACTTAAAGAAGGAAGAGTTTA